ACAGAATTCCAAACCCCAACATCCCCCCAGGCCACTCAGCCCTGACAAGTGGAAGCCAAGCAGCACTTTACCATATGGGGAAAATCCTTCCCACGTCCCAGTGCAGGCAACCAGCTCAGCTCTCATGCCCAAAAGTGGTTGTGGCACTTGCCAGGCACGAAAAAAAAGGAAAAACAAAGCAGAAAATAGGCGTCCTATCCTCATTCCTCCTCTTAGTCCCACTGTTTCCAACTACTTCATCTGCCTTCTGTACTCAGACACCAAGATATTCCCACCCTTCACTAGATGACAGAACAACTGCTCTATGCTCCCATCCTACCAAGGAACAAACTTTTTTGGCTCCTCTTTCCACTATCTGCATTTTTAACCTAACCACTTCTTTTTCTCCTGTTTCATTACCCTGCTACAAAAAAAAAAGTTTTACAAATGATGAGGGGAAAGGTTTGATGTGTAAATCCTTCTTGGGATTTCAACAGCAACAGTCTTCCCAGAGAGAGCAGCAAGTTCCTGGGAATGAGGCAATACTACAGACAGGGATGGCTGTAATCCCAAGGACTGTACCTAAGGACTAACAGGAGTACAAAGGAACACCAACGTCAACGAGTATTTGGAGCTTTCCCACCACACAAACATCGCAATGTATTTATCGAGTTCTAGATAAAAGTATTTCAATTCCCTCCTGTCCTACTGGAAGGAGTGGGAAGCCTCATCTCCAGCCTGAGCACTGACCAATGTGTGCAGGATGATTTCCATACCTTTGTGTTCTTGTGCAAACGCTGTTTCAGCTCAAATAGTTCAAATAGTCATTTCTGCCTTCCCTGCTGGTGGGGGGGTTAATATCAGCCAGAAAATCCACCACACACAGTACAAACACCCTTTTTTTCTGATATTCTTCATTCCCCTCATTTTTAATGCAGATATTTGAATAGACAGTCTACCAGTTCAGCTTGATCCTAATGCTGGTTTTCCTTCCCCTCCCCAGTCAAACACTCAGGGAGTGAGGATTAGAACATAAGGTGTTTTGCTTATTACAAGACTGGACACAGACCTTCACATACAAACAGGAACCTGCTCAAAAAATAGCTACAAATTAGGTGATTATTTAGGTGTGGCAAGGAAGTAGCCTAGTTTTATATCCTGGGATAAAGATTGAGACCTGATAGCACATGTAAATCTAATCCCGGAGGAGGGGCCTGCATTCAGAATCACTCTGAAATCACAATCAACACTTGGTCTGCCAAACCCTTTGCCAAGCACATAAACCAGCCCAGTCCAAGACTTTGTACCCAGCGAGCAGAGAACCGTCACCATGGGCTCCATCCACAGGGCCCAGCTGGGACTTGGGGCCAGTTCACCTGGAAACCCCTCGGAGACACAGCTGCATGTTTGCTTGGGAATCTGGCTCAGGGCTGGTTATTCAGGGACAGGGAATGTTTCCAGAATCAATACTGTGATCCTGTGGAAGAGATCTGATTACTAACTGTCTGTTTGTTACGTAATAAGAGCTGTTTCCTAAAGTAAAGCTTTCTGGCAGGAATGGGCTGCATCTACATCTCTAAGAGCTAATTAGTGGAGCCCCAAAGCCCAACAGCTGCTGCTGCAAACAGCCTCTGTGGTCTCTGTGCTCTGCATTGTTTACTCCCAGTAGCTCCAGTCTGCACCACAAACACCCAGGAACCAGTGGAAGCATCTTCCGCTTGTGCCCCATTTGCTTCAGCTGTGTTTTTTCAGCCTCTAATTTTTATTTCACAGAATCCCAGAATCATTTGAGTTGGAAAAGACCTCCCAGGCCACTGAGTCCACCCTGTGCCCCATCCACACCTTGACACCCAGCCCAGAGCACTGAGTGCCACAGGCAGTCATTTCTGGGATACCTCTGGGGATGGGCACTCCACCATCTCCCTGGGCAGCCCCTTCCAGTGCCTGACCACCCTTTCCAGGGAGAAATTCCTCCTGATGCCCAACCTGACCCTCCTCTGGCAGCGCTTGAGGCCGTTTCCTCTCACCCAGTCCCTTGTTCCCTGGGAGAAGAGCCTGACCTGTTCCTGCTTGCCCAGCTTGGCCGTGGTCTCCCACTCTCCCAAGCCCACCCAACAAGGCAGGGCCCAGAGGCTCCCAGGTGGGTGGCAGGAACGGGGACCAGCACCCTCCTGCTCACATCCTGCGCTCCCCTGAGCCACAGGAGCACACCCACAGTGACACAGCTGACCTCTGGAAAAGCACAGGTTCCAACTAACAACCACAAGGCCAAGAACGTACAGTAGATTAGTTAATCTACACAGCTGGACTATCAGAGCTCTGGGTTAGACTGAGGGCAGCGCAGGCCATAAAAAGGGACAATGACTCCCCAGGTCCCACTGCCAGCACCAGGGCACGAGGAAGCTGTTGCTTAACTGAGCTACTTGGAAACACCCAGCCCTGTTTTGAAACCATCCACAACGAGTGGAAGGAGAAAGTCACAAATGCAAACTGATGGCAGAAAAAGCACATTTCTCCTAAATATTTGCTAAAGCTTTTGGAGACTTGTGTGGAGACAAAGCAGGCAGCAGCAAGGAACCCGGGGGAGCTGTCCTTTGGGAAACTGCTCTGCATGAGTGGCCTCTGAACCGACCACATCCAGCCAGCTCTCCGTGTTCCCATCAGTGACAGACACCAGGAAGAAGTGGAGCTCTAGGGAAAACACTCCATTATGCAGCAAGGCCTAGCTCACAAAGTTACTATTACTGCGCTTCTGTGCCCACACATAATTAAGCAAAACAAAGTGTAAATCCACGTATACACAACCAAAGTAACACTAGAAATTACATACAAGGTGTGTGCATAACTTTACATCGTAGATGTGCCTACTCGAAACTTCCATCCAACATCAGACTAAGAAAATTGCTAATTGTCTAACATTAAAATTAATAACATCCTGGTTGTTGCTATTATAGAAGAGGCAACACTGAACTTTGCTTTAGCTATTAACGTGTAAAGATCCTGAAATATCAGACCAACTCTTTTACCAGCTAATTGGAGTCACTGCTCATCACTGAAAATTCCTGAGGAACTGTAACTATGAATAAGGGAGGAAAACAGAAGTGTAGAAAGGAGCGGGGAAGAGAAGAAAACACAACTACTTCCGAGTGGAGCAGAGCCCCCACTCCCAGCAGCAGGTGAGAGGAGCTGCTCCTGGCTCACCTGTACTCCCTGCTTACAGCAAACAGCAGAGGAAGTTCAGCAGGGAATAAATCTGCCTGGCTTAAACCCGAGCTCTCCACACACACATCTACACCTTTTCCCACAGTATCAGGCTTACAGACGTTTACTGATGGCTTAGTAAAGATAACAACTCAAAAACTTTAGGCCTTGCTACACTCTCACCCAGCAACGGTCCCACGAGCATGTTCGGTGCAAGTAGTGAGTTACTTTCATTTTCCAAAGTTCTGTGTAACTACAGATATGCTATTTTTTACCCAGAACTCACATTTTTCCAATAATAGGAGATGCTGTTTTTATCTCCTCCATCCAAGAAAGAAAATACAGTGAAAGAGCTCTGCAACCCCCCTTATTTGTTATATATAGATACCTACAGGTGCTCAGGCAGCTGTCCATGGACAGGGAGACTCTGGGCTGGATCGCTGTTTGTGGGACATCCTCAGGGAGCACAGGGACCACGCGCACACGGGACAGCTGCCAGGGGCTCTACACCACTTCCACAAAACTGCCACACACTCCTTTTTTTGGTCATTTTTTTTTCCAACCAAAAGCTTAAATAAAACAGTGGGAGGAGGCTGGGAGCCCTTGGGAGTGAAAGCTGCTGTGTAAGATCATGGAACCACAGGATGGTTTGGGTTGGGAGGGATCTTAAAGCCCATCCAGTCCCATCCACTACCATGGGCAGGGACACCTTCCACCAGCCCAGGTTGCTCCAAGCCCCGTCCAACCTGGCCTTGGACACTTCCAGGGATCCAGGGGCAGCCACAGCTTCTCTGGGCAACCTGTGCCAGGGCCTCCCCACCCGCAAACCGGGGAGGAATTTCTCCCCAACATCCCACCTACCCGTGCTGTTCTGCGAGCCTTGCACACGGAATCATAAAACCCCAGACCGGTCTGGGTGGGAAGGGACCTTAAAGATGCTCCCGTCCCACCCCCTGCCATGGGCAGGGACACCTTTCCCTCGCCCAGGTCGCTCCAAGCTCCATCCAGCCCGGCCTGGGCACTCGCAGGGCTGTTGCAGCCCCCGGGCCGGCCGGGCGAGGAGCGGAGCGGAGGCAGGAGGGATGCGGCTGACCCGCACTCGCAATAAAGGCACCCCCGGGGCTTCCCCGCGTTCCACCCGCGTGTCCGGGCCGGCCCCGCTCCCTCCATCCCCCCCCGCGCCACCCCCGCGGCTCCAAACCCCGCTCGGGAACACCCCCGGAGAGCCACTTACCGCGGCAGCCCGCGGTCCCTTGTGCGGGCGGCTCGGCGGCCGGCGGCGGCACAAGTAGGGGAGGGCGGCTCTCTGCCGCCCGCCCTCCGCCTGCAGCAGCCAGCCCGGCTCCCCCGAGCTCCGCCTCGAACAACCGCGGGCACCTCCCCGCCCTGCCCTGCCCTGCCCTGCCCGGGGCCGCCGGTGCGGCCTGGCCCGCGGGGAGGGGCCCGGCGCGGCCTCCTCATCCCCGGCCTCGCGTGACGGGGGTCGCCGCCCAGGGCGGCCCCTCCCCGGGGCTGCGCGGGGCGGCCGCGCCGGAGGCCTCGGGCCCACGCGTGGGGCCCGGCGCTGCCACCCGCGCGGCTCCTCGTGGCCGGCAGCTGCCCGGGTGTCGCTTAAAGGCGGTAAACAACTGCGGGGGTTGGATTTCACGGGTTTTGCAAAGTCGGTGATATTCAGGCCGCCGGTGATGGGAGCCGTGTTTATCCCGGGCGCACAAGTGCTCTTAAAAGGGAAAAAGAGCTCAAGTGGCAGCTGGAATTTTTAGATGCTCAGGCTTAGAAGCCCTCGGCTGCAGAGAAAGGGTAGAAAATGAAAGGAAACTGAGCAGAAAATGATCAATTGGTGTTTGAGGTTATGGGTTTGGGGTACGGTGTTTTGTTTGGGTTTTTGTTTGGTTCTTTGGGGTTTTTTTGTTTGTTTTTCTCTTTTTGAGAGATCGTGAGAAAGGGAGAAGAATTGGGGGGGAAAAAAGGGATTTGAATGCAATTTGCGGTGAATAATTGCAGCATGATCCAACGCACACATGGTTCTACATGTGAATCCCTACCCCATGTATGCGTTCTAACAAGTTCTGGGTGTGAATGCCTTCCCCATGTATGTGTCCTGATGTGGCACAAAATGTTATCCTTTCATGCATTTCTAACAAATATTCAAAACTTGATCATAAGTTTGTTAGAACTGGGAAAATCCTCTGCCCTCCCACCCCTCAAGGGTGTTGTCTACCCACATGAGGCTGTGCTGTCAGTTTTAATTTATGGTCATTTCTTATTGACTCCAAACAAGGCAGTTTATTACCACAAAATGTGTCTACATTCTGTTTCCAAGTGAACATTTTCTGCACCCAGCACTGCTGTGTCTCATCAGCTCTTCCATACCAGCAAAATCTTGAAGGGAGTAGAAAATGAGAACGTTGTACTACTCTCCTCATAAAGGGAAATCCAGGAGTGAGTGAAAACTTTATAAGGATCACATTTCCCAAGCAATCTCACTTTCCTGGAGAGGTTGTCCACATGTTCACAGTGCTGCTACCAATGAACAGGGATGGGCTGTTCTCTCCTCCCTCCATCAGGCTTCTGTTCAACTACTGCTGTCTTTTCATCATAGTTACTTTTTACCTCTGTTTTTATCTTAGTTACTCATTGGCAAAGATTGGGCTTCATAAGTTTGCAAAGTGAAAGAATTTTACAAGGTTAAAAAAAAAAAAATGAGATGCCTGAAAATACCGCAAAATTCATCCCTCTTGACTCTGCTTTTTATTTAATGCCTAGATGAAAATATTACCTCCTGAGTCTCTGTGTGTGTGGCTGAGTCCCCGGGACACCTGCCAAGACACGAATTTTAGATGCCCGAAATCATGTGCTCAGCAGGTGTAAATTGTGTGCAGGGAGAGTTCACCTTTTGTCCTGAACCCCAGAGGCAGTTTCTCTTCATTAGCAAGGGAAGATGGGGAAGGAGATTATCCTCGTTTCCTGACTGCGTGCCAAAGTTATGTATCATAAGGAGAAAATCTGTTCCTGCGTTCACAAATATGTTTGCTCCTAATCTGTCTTCAGGGAAGTGTCTTTGTGAGGAGCGAGGGGTGCTGATGATGGCAGGAGAGCTGAGGCGGAGGGACAGGAACAGACGCAGAATTTCTCTGCCGGGATTTTTTTCCAGTGGGATCCACGGTAGGTCCTCCCGTTGGAAAATAAAAGTACTTAGTCATGGCTGTGGTTAAACATTGAGATTGTTCCCATCTCGGGCTGCGGGTGTCAGGTGTCAGTCGAAGTACAACCCTGTGGCTTCCCATGGGATGCTCAGTTTGCCAATGAACCAGGAAGTGTTGCTGGTGTTTCATCGTTTCCCCTACATGCAACAGATAAATCCATTCACTGTGTGTGTCTGAGAATGAGCAAGGAGCTCCTTTTTCTATTAAAACTGCAGAATGTGTTATCATCATAATCGTGTCTGACTGTTTGCTGTTCCATCAAGATCCCACATCAGGGCTGAGCCACAGAAACAGATGCAAAAATTGCAGTTTTAAAAGAATAAGGTCATGGGGCATGTTCTGTGTGGCAGAACAAACACCATCATTAATTGGCCTCTCCCTGCAATGGCAGCACAGGCAGGGAATGGAAGGAAGGGATGTGGAGTATCTCTGTTTTTTGGGGCAAACAGCCGAGCTAGGTCTGATAGAAAACATGAATTTCCCTGGTGAAGAAAAGAAAGACAATATCTTTTAGAAAGCAGGGCTGCTTGGACTAGTCAAGAGTAGTTATTTTATCTTTAAACGTTTAAAGATCTTGGTTGTGGCAGGAAATATATATATAAAAAATTTATTAAATTTATTTCCTCTACGTGTGCCAGAGTGAGAGATTATATTCAGCAAATGGACTGCAAAAGGCTCTTTGGAATTTGTGCTGTATTATTTTTTATTCTGAGACAATGACAGGCCAAAACGAGTCCTGGTGAATATACACATCTACTGTTTATCCAGGTATTTTCTCCACTGAATCGATTAGGAAAACCTTAGAAAACCAGTTCAAAGATATACAAACACTTTGAAACCCCCAGCCTGATATCCCAGTGCATAATGAATAAAGAGAGGATTTGAGTCTCCTGTTCTCTTCCAGTGCCCATTTCCCTGGCATTGCCTGTCTGATGGTGTTCCTTTGTGACCATTTGGGTGGGATCTGGAATGAACATTTTCAGGGTGTCCATGGGTTTATTAGGAACTTGCACAGATTTCCAGCAACATCATCAATGGTTGTGTTGGGGGAAATTATTTTAAATAACCGTGTATATAATTGTCAATTTGGTTTTGGTGACCTTTAGTGATCCAGAACTGTTCCACTGGGAGAAAAGGGATATTGGAAAATCCCTATGTTTCCCCTTGGCTGGTATGTGAAACAATCAGCATTCCTGGATGTAAATGGCTCCTCTCAGTGTCCGGAGCCCATGGATGGGATATCTCACCCCAAATTCCTTTAGCACCGTTTTTGACCACACCACACCAGCCATCCTGCAGCTTCCCTGGAGTTTCAGATCATACCTTTTCATCCACAAAAATACTTTTCCCTGCAGATTTAAATAATTAATTGGGACGTGCCTAGTGGGTCTTGAGCTAAACTTCAGGGAGGCAGCGGATACGTGTGACCAAGTGACCTTTTGCTGTCCTGCTCGTCCCCGCGCTCGCGCTGTGCTCAAAGGGACGCTGTCAAAATTGCTAGGCCTTAAAACTTTAACCCGCTCTGACAAGTTGTTCTACATTATAAGTCTTCCCTAAAAGATTACCACGATTGTTTTGTTTGTTTTGTTCCAACAATCTTTGCTGAAGGCTCCACAATACGGCTTCATTTGTCCTTTTGGGTAGGTGGATATTTTTAAATGCCCGGCTTATTCCGTGACCTGTTAAAATCGAGTTGATGTGCGTGTGCTCCACTCAGCGGAGAACTCGCCGGAGATGGAGCAATTCCTGTGCACTCTGGGAGAAGAGACAAGAGCACGCTCTGGAAGCCTTTATGAGGAGGCTTTTAGAAGCCATTTTGAAAAGCCACTTGTTATCCTTCTGTGTTTTGGAAGTCTGGACTGGGCCTCCCAGGTGATATTAGGTATGTGTTAGTGAAGCGTGGGTTGGTTCTTACAAAGAGGTTTGCTGTATGTCAGGGCACTTGGAGTTACTCCTTAGGCATAATTTCTGAGATCTCCACTCACAGAATCACAGGATCATTGAGGTTGGAAAAGACCTCTATGGATCCCCCCTGTGCCCGATGCCCACCTTGTCCCCCAGCCCAGAGCACTGAGTGCCACGGCCAGGCCTGCCTGGGACACCTCCAGGGCTGAGCACTCCAAACCTCCCTGGGCAGCCCCTGCCAGTGCCTGACCACCCTTTCCAGGAGGAAATTCCTCCTGATGTCCACCCTGAGCCTCCCCTGGCACAGCCTGAGGCCGTTCCCTCTCCTCCTGTCCCTTGTTCCCTGGGAGCAGAGCCCGACCCCCCCCCGGCTCCCCCCTCCTGTCAGGGGGTTGCAGAGCCAGAAGGTCCCCCCTGAGCCTCCTTTTCTCCAGGCTGAGCCCCCCCAGCTCCCTCAGCTGATTTAATACAGCTCCACTTGAGATGGATCAGAGCCAGCAGGTATATCTGCCCCATCACACTTTCCCTGGTTTATATCCAGGACAAGGACTGACACCACACCCGCTGTATGTCAGGCACTGCACAGCCTCCGTCCCGCCGCGTGATGCTGGAACACATGTCCCTGTGGGCAGGGAGGAGGGAATGAGCCATAGCCACTGGCCACACCCCAGGTGGGCCACACCTGCACTTTGCAGCTTGATTTGAGCTGTTTTACCGCTGCCTATCAACCCTGTTCCTATGGCAGCTGCACCAGCTGAACTGGGGTGTGTGAGGCCGCGGTGCCCTGCAGATGCCCTGGAGCTGCAGCATCCTCCTTGGAGGTACACACTGGAGCACCTCCAGGTGCTGCTGGTGACACAGGAAGACACTGTGGAGCCTCAGCCAGAAGCATCAGCATCAGAGATCATGGGGATTCTTAATCAACTGAACTGATCCTATGAATTTTTCACCAGTTCTGAGGCTCTGGACCACCCTATCCAATATTACAGGTCTCAATTCTCTCCTCTGTGCATCACTCTCCTACTCACAGTGAGTTTTAAGGGAAGCCAAGTGTGACCCTGGGTCAGGCAGCTTGGGAAAGGGTTTGCAGAGCATGTTCTAGAGTGACATTTGGTCCCCAGGGAGGCCTGTGAGTTGCCAAACTCCTCCTGGGTGATGGAGTTCCCTGCACTACGTCAGCCAACACCCCCAGATGTTCTGAGCAGATGCAAAACATGCTCTAGTGGACATGAGGAACTGTTCTCTGAGTTACTAACTGCGAGTGCAAGGACGGGTTTCACTTCTGCTCTGGGAACAAGGGGGACTGGCCAATAGTGCAAAGTGTGTCACTGTGGTGACCCTCTGTGCCATAATTCCCTAAGGAGTGGCAGTTCCATGGAAACACCGTGTTCTGCTCTGCCCTGACCTGCCCCAGAGAGCTGAGGGGCACCTGGGGACATGGCTCAGTGGTGGCCTTGGCAGCGCTGTGAGTGAACCTTTGGACTGGATGATATCAGAGGGCTTTTCCAACCTAACCCATCCCGTGATTGTGTGATTCCATGACTCTCCCTGAGGACACGCTGCTGTTTCCCACGTGGCTGGGCACAGACCTTGCCAGGTGTCCCCTGCCAGCCGGGCCCTGGCAGAGCCTCAGCTCACCAGGAATGAGAGAAGGTGACAGAATAAAAGTAGGGGGAAACCAGTTGGTCAGTGCTTTCTATTTACCTCCTCCTGGCTAACTGCTGGACACAGTAAATAGCGAATTAGGGGCTTCTCAATATGTATATTTTTTTATGTAAGTGCTTGGGGGTTTCTGGTCCTGGGCTTGTCTGGGAACACAGTTTTTCTAGGCTGACTGATGCAGTCATGAGCAATAACCTAAATTACAGCTTTTACTTGAAGTTTTTACGATGTCACCTTCTGCTGGAGGAAGTTAAGAGGGAAAGGGAACTGTGACGTGTGGTTACACTGTGGTGTTCATGTGTGTCCACACAGGAAATTGGAACAGTACCTGTAGTGCCAGATTGCTGTTGCCTGAAGAAGAAAACACCTGCTTCCTCCTTTTCCAGAGGTGGTTGGTGGTCGGTGCTCCTCCTGCCTGGGCCGTGTCCTCAAGCACAACCATCCTTTTTATACGTAAATCTTGATGTTCCCTTGACGTGAAACACTTGGTGCTGCTGCTCCTTGAACACTCCCCCTGACTTATTCAAGGAATAACATTTGTTTATCCCTGAGAAGATACAAACAGAATGCTTAGGGGAAAAAAAAAAAGAAGTTTTCAAAGAATATGCTGAGAAAAAAAAAAGTTTTCAAAGAATATTCTGAGAAAAAAAAAGTTTTCAAAGAATATGCTGAGAAAAAAAAGTTTTCAAAGAATATACTGAGAAAAAAAAAGTTTTCAAA